AGCATGACGATTAGTCTAAGTTCAACACAAAATGTGAAAGCTAATTACWACTGGCTCTTTGCAGGCAACCATAACACTCAYRTGGCCCTCGGTGAAARTGAGTTTGACACCCCTGCAAGTCTCACCACTGAGGGAGTCGGCCATTGTTTTCCACGCTGCAGCTTGTAACTGGAAACGTTTTGTGAACACCCCCCTCCCCTCTCCATCCTCAGCTGACTTCTCTGAGATTCTTCTTTTCCTGATTCTTTGCGGCAATWTCATCAAACTGGCTCTGCTGGTTTTAGCTGCATTTTGTTTACCTTGAAATATTTTCCCATCAAAGAATAAAGTTMTCTCAAAGYTGTCATAAACTRCATACTTGGACTCATGAGTCYGGTTAGTTSTAGTKTGTTATTTATAAATGCAGCMATTTAAATTATTATTTTTTTAATATTACGTGYTTATAGAAGCATAAGYTGAGAGGACAGCGGGCTATGGGCTKTATTTACCATAGCAGAAACTGGGCCTTTTACATGTGCCACGTTTTGAAACCCTCTACCCACTGCTGCAGATAAAATTACTCTATTTTTAAAACCTCATGTTGGCCTTTCTATTGATACTGGAGTAAAAATAGAGGGCAGCGCAGCAGCATGAAACGGTTGAAAATGTGGAACAGACAGCAGGGCTCTATATTTAGAAGGGACACAATCACAAAAAGAGCCTCATGACAGTTTCTCTCCTCCCAGCTGGATTCACTTTGTCCTYACATTCTGATTTCTGAGGAGGAAACTGGGCTTGAGGTGGAATTTTTACGTAAACTTTGTTGGAAAACTGTTTAAAAAACGTTTGAATCTTTCCTCGATTATGGTTTTCTTAGAATTGTTGGGGGATATTGTCGATTCTACTCAAGTTGTGTCTTAAAATCTGTGCCTTTCGTGTTTTTTCTGTGATAAAAATCAAGTTTTAGGGAATACACATAAGATGGTTGAAGGTCTGCCACAAGCAGCTGAAAGAAAAAAAATGTTTGGGAATTTTCCACTGCAAATATTTCTCTGACACATTCGACGCCATCCTACTGCAGACGAAGCTCCCCTCCAGGTGAAATTCCAGCTCGGCTCAGCAGAAGCTGATTGGCTGGACTCTGCGGAGCCTGTAGGCAGACTGACAGGACCTGGGTCTGAAGGAGACAGCTGGGAGTCCAGACTGAAGATTTATGAAGAGGTGGTTCCAGTCCAAAAGGTTTCAAGGAAAAGTCAGCTACATWAGAAAAGGTTGATAAAATACTGCATAAATACAGGTGCTGGTCATAAAATTAGAATATCATGAAAAAGTAGATTTATTTCAGTACTTCCATTTAAAAAGTGAAACTTGTAATTATATTCATACATTACATACAAACTCATATATTTCAAATGTTTATTTCGTTTAATTTTGATGATTACAAATGACAACAAATGAAAATCTCAAATTCAGCATATCAGAAAATTAGAATATTACTGAAGACCAATAAAAACGTATGAACATGAAAAGTATGAGCATGTACAGCACTCAGTATTTAGTTGGGGCTCCTTTGGCCTGTATTACTG